CACATACATAGACACGCATTGGAAAAGTCCAGGTCTCTTAACGGGGCGGTAGGCGGCCCGACTGCTGTGGTTTGCCCCTTCTTACCGAACTTCTCTCTTCCAGATTGCTCTCCTTTCTGTTCTATGTGTGTTACTCTCCTGTAACACTTTCAATCTTCGACACTTGTGTGATGGACATGTAATTGTGTTTGTAAGTGCTGTAAAATTCGTACTAAAACTAAAACTAAAACGCGTACGTTTGCCATATTTCTACAACTTTGCTCTTAGTCTTAGTTTTCGTTTTAATAAGTTTTACGGCACTTGCAACACGGCTGGGTCCTATAAGGGCTGGAGATTAGAGAGTAATATACACCAAAAAAGATTAAAGAAGGATGGGTGATATTTTGTCGCTTTTAAGGACAAGTGGGCTAACCCAAATTTCTGGGGTTTCCAGAAATCTTGACCTTCACCAAAAGTGGGCATTGCCCTACCTATAGGAGAAATTTGGTTTCATTGGTGTGTATATTTGTTTGGTTATAGAGAAAGAAAGCTCTCCTTGTCTTTTAAAGAAACTGGACAAGGGACAAAAACTTTACCTTCGATTTTCTCAAAGCAGCATTTTCCCGATAGCCCCCTTGTGTTTAAAGCGACCAAATGAAGAGCGATAGATGTTGGATAGGAAAGAAGGAGTAAGCCACATAAGAACACCCGCCAACCACCCACTACTTCACATTCACTCAACGACATTTAATATTGCGCGCGCGGTGTGTGAACACGACTTTGCTCTCAGCGAACAATGACGTCAGAGCGGTGAATGACGGGGACAACAGCGGAAGATATCGCGAGACTCACGAGAAGTTTGCAATAAAATGTACTCATCCGAGGGCAGTTCTGAGCCCGAGCTTTGATTATCGTCCTTGGGTTCCTGTATAATGAACGTACAGGCGTGAATGATTACAGGGCACAGATTGGAACGGCGTTTCAGGGCAAACGATTTTTGATTTTTTTGGTTTGTTTATTTGTTGTTGTTGTTGTTTTCTTCTTTTGTTATGTTATTGAGGCGGGTTTTTAGAGGCCCCCCCCCCCCAATCTTTTTTACGTGGGTGGTTGGAGGTTGCTCTGGTGAAGTTTGCTTCTTCTTTCCTATCAAACATCTATCGTGTCTCTATCTCCCCTCCTGTTTGGTGTTTTTAAAACTCTGTGTGTCGGCACTAATGTGGCCTTAATGTGTTGCAAGTGCCGTAAAACTCTTACTCTAACAAAAACTCTGTCACTCCGCTCTGTCTGTGAAATTGTGAATTTGTCTTGTAGAGTGAACAGATAGACAGACGAACGCAGATCGGTAGAGAGAGAGAGAGAGAGAGAGAGAGAGAGAGAAGGCGACAGACAGACAGCGAGAGGAGGAGAGACAGAGAGAGAGAGACAGACAGACCGACAGGCAGACACGAGTGGTCAAACAGTCAGTACCTTGTCCACCACCTGCTTGCTGACCATCTGTCCGGGTGAGTCCGGGGCGTACCTCGGGGGTCCCCGCCTCCTGCCCCCGCCCCCGCCACGCCCACATCTCCCCCGCGCTGGGCGTCGTCCTGCCGCCGGCGACGTCTCACCGCCACCGCCGCTCGTGAAGTTGTTGGCGAAGTGGGCCGTGGTTGTTGGAGGGTGTCCGCCGCGCCACCGATGCTCCGTTCTCCCAGACGATAGTCCCGACATTGGATAAAACCCCGTCAGGGGGGATGTAGTCGCGGCAGTAGTAGCGACGGTGTGAGCGATGTTGTGTTGTAGGAGGAAGGAGCCGGCGAGGCGTCGGGTTTCCGCCGTGGTGGCGGCCAGAGTTACGCGCGCGGTGGCGGAGGAGAGAGCCATGAGGGCTGTGAGGTCGACGCCGGCGCTGCTGGGCGGTGGGAGGAGGAGGTGGGGGCCGGCTGACATGTCTGTGGTGGGGGTGGGGGGCAGGAGGCTCATGTTGGACGACGCGAGGCCGCTCAGTACCACGCTGGACATGGTCATGTCGCTGTCTCTGGGTTAAGGTTACACTGAGCTAGTGTCCAGTGGGCCAATAGTTGGTCAGTTAAGGAGTGTCCAGTGCGCGTGTAGTTGGTGAGTTGATGGGTGTCTAGAGGACGTGTATTAGCTCGTGGCACACATGATACTTGTCCGTCCGTTTAACCCTTTAACACATGGCACACATGATGATACTTGTCCGAGCCGTAGCGGATCACGGGCAATTTTTGGCGTGTTTCGAATCATGGCACACGAATCCGAAATACGAATGTGCACATTTCACAGTGTTCTGGTTGTTACCTACCCTTTGAAGCGTCTCACCAAGAAAACAGTATTGGAAAACCAGTGGGAATGACGAAGTCTTGCTTCCTTTTTGTAAGTGCCACGAAACAGCACGTCCACAGAGAGTTAGGTGATCCCACCCCCGAGAGCTAGGGGATCCAGCCTCAGAGAGTTAGGTGATCCCAGCACTGTAAAGTTAGGTGATCCGACCACAGAGAGTTAGGTGATCCCACCCCCGAGAGCTAGGGGATCCAGCCTCAGAGAGTTAGGTGATCCCAGCACTGTAAAGTTAGGTGATCCGACCACAGAGAGTTAGGTGATCCCACCCCCGAGAGCTAGGGGATCCAGC